ATCAAACTTACTCTATTGAGTATCGAAAGCATACAATTGAGTATCATGACATCTATTCCCATTATATAATCTAACTCTTGTGCGTATCTAATATGATACTTTTGAAACTAGTATGCTCACCCGTGCGATGCACGGGATGCAAAATACCTAATTAAAAACCGCAAACCGACCTTAATTTGGTTTGAAATTTCTTGACGCTTTGGGTAATTTCATTTTAGATAGTCTGAACAGAAATTACCCAACAAAATCCGAAAATCGGTCGCACTTGTGATCTCTAAATCCATAACCCAACAACCTAATCAATATACCCGAGACAATTTCCTTAAATGATTGGAAACCCCCATTATTTAAAACATACTAAATATTAAAAAAAATGGTTTTGATTTGTCGGTGATTTTTGGAGACTATAGGTCGTGTTTGTTTTTTGGCGGATCTGAACCTAACCGCTTCACAATGCAGCGTTTTGCTTTAGAAAAAATAGCGGATTGAGGAAAAATTGTCGTTACCCAAACGCAAGCTATTATTTGTGTTATTTTGTGTGATTTGTATTTTCGGGCGATGAATATCAATGGACGACGTGATGATTTCTCGCTCGACTTTAACCCAAGATATTGAAAACACGACCTGGACCGAATATAATAGTACTTGTTCTAGTTTTAATTTTCACAACCTTAGATTTTAGGGTTGTTCTTCGGGTTTACCAAAACCCGTTCCAGACCAAACTGATCCACCGCTATTTAAAGGCAATATCATTAACTTTTTCTTTCGCATATAAAATTAATCACTTAAAAATAAATACTTCTTATCTATTACTCCATTTGTCCCTTAAAACTTTGCAATCTTTCTTTTTTAGGACGTCCCAAAAAACTTTGTCACTTTCACATTTAATCAATTATTTCGCGGTTTATGTTATTTCTCTCTCCTCTGCACAAACCTCAACCATACAGTTTTTACTTTATTATTCTTCGTGCCAGTCAACTTTGATAAAGTTTTAAGGGACAGAGGTAGTATAAAATACCCATCTCCCATAAAACTTTGACATATTTGACGTTTTCAAATTTCAATTCAAACAGCCGTAAACTTTCACAAATAGTTTTGATCAATACGGAGCATATTTTGTACAAATGAAATGTTTTATACTTTTATATTTTTATAAATCTATTTTTAACAACCAACATTTAATATTATTTTTATATTATAAATAATTCTAGACTATTGTTCCCACCTTAGGCGTGGGTTTACCGTTTGAACTTTAAAGTAGAGTACCCGTGCAATGCACCGTGCGAAGCACGGTTGGTGAAGTTACACATGTACAATTACATTTAGTCAAAATTGAAAAAAAAAATGAAGTTGAAATTTAATTAAATTGTTTAAAATTATATTCTGTATGATAATAAATTTTAACGTAAAATGAAATATATTCAATATGATTTACCAATAATTGTGAGAAAATGTTTAAATCCATTCGACTATTTCAACACATCACTTGAATCCATACACGAAAAATAACAATATCATTTAGGCATATTATTGATAGATTCATCCAATGCAATCGCTTCAATTAGAATTGTATCAATTTAGTGAATTTTCTCAATAAATGATACTCCGTAGTTAAAATAGAAATCTATTAAAAATTAGGCCATTAAAAATTGATTAATGACACATATTTGTTTTTAAAAATTATTAAAAAATTTCTCAATCGCTTCATTGAAGTTGTCGGTAATTTGTTTTTTAGGAAAATCCATCCCAATCAATTAAAATAGATATTCTCAGTAGGCCTGGATTAATAATCCCCCGGTACAAACCTTGTTGAAATGAGCTAATAGCTTGTCGTCCCCCCAAACAGGGGCGGACCCAGGAAATTGATATTGGGGGGGCGATAATTTAACCAAAAAAGATCTAGGCGATTATTATTATAAGTTATAACCTTAATATGATACGGAGTAGTAATTAAATGAAGCATTATAATAGAAGAAGAGACAAATATATTATTACAAAATAGTTAAAGTTAGTACCTTAGAATTGTACCCAACGCTTCTTCAACGAGATAAATTCCTCAATCACGATTTTTTAGTCAAAAGTTTCAGCAATTTCTCTTTCAATATAAACAATAAGGTTGTCTGCAACATACTCATCCTCCATTTTATTGCGAAGCCTTGTTTTAATAATTTTCATTGCGGAAAAAGTCCTTTCGGTTGTTGCTGTCGAAACCGGTAGAGTCAACAAAAGTCAGATCAATTTATCAACAAGCTAAGAAAGTACACTTTTGACATCTCCGTCTCCGCTAATCTTTGACAAAGTTCACCCATTGTAGAAAAATTCGCCAACTTTGGATGGTTTAGAACATTGAGCTTATAATGTTGCAATTGAAACCTCAAGTTCACCTTATCCTGCTCAATAAAATCAAAGGGGTAATATTTATCCATTAAAGAACAAATATCATCAATGTTAAAAGACTTATATGAATCCTTAGGATCCAAAGCACCACTAAGAGTAAGAAGATCCATTATCTGTTCACCGCATAAGGACGTTCAATATCAAACCCTTCTTGATCATGGCGTTTGCGTTTTACCGCATAAGGAGACTTCATATTAGGAACTTCAATTTCATGCTTTGTGCAAAACTCTTTAACATTTTCTAAGAAGTTATCCCATCCACCCTCCCTTAACTTTTGGATCAACATTTTGGTGCTTGACACCAAATGCATAACATTTACTATGTCTTGGCACTTCTTCTGTATATGCTAACATAGAAGATCTGTAATGCCCATAATTTCTTTAATAAGATGCAACAAGAAAACAAAATCAAAAGATTTAATCTTCTTAAGTTCTCTAGCTGCATTTCCACGAGTAGAATAGTTATTGCCATTCTCTTCAACATCTTCTAAAATAGAACAAGTTGCAGCAAACATCCTAATCAAACTGCAAGCAGAACAGAAATGTGAGCTCTAATGAGTTTCCCCAGCTTGTTGTAATGTACCAACCTAATTAAGTCCTCTGCTTGTTTCAAGCTCACCAATTTCCAACATTATTGCAATTTCAAGTGCTTGAGCTTCCTTTAATTCATCACTTCGTTTGCAAGAAGAATTAGTCAGATTAATAATAAAGACTGAATCGATGAAATTTTTTTGCACATATTTCACCTCTCTAGAAGCAGCAACCAATGCTAATTGCAACTGATGCGCTAAGCAATGAACATAGTAGGCATAAGGACAATCATTTAAAAATAATCAATCTTTCCGTTTCTTTCTTCTAGGTGCGCATGTTTTTCATTAGTTTGGTCTGGGCGGTGGGCTGGGATTAGATTTTGGGGTGGGTTAATGGGGATTAGATTTTGGAGTGAGTTGATATAATATTACTTGTAAAATTTCTATTTTTTTAGGCTCTTAAACAATTGGGTTTCTGCGAGTGGGCTATGCTTTGGGAGAGAAAATATTTTTTGGGGGGGTTCAAAATTTTTCTTGGAGGGGCGAGAATTAAATGTTGGGGGATAAAAATAAAAATTTTGTATATATATATACTAAAAAAAAATTGTTGGGGGGGGCGGCAGCCCCCGGGTCTGTACTACGGTCCGCTCCTGCCCCCAAACCCGAGAGATACACACACATGTTAATCTAATGTCTAACCGCCTCTTCCAGCCAATTAAATTCGATATTCTCCTTACTCAATACTTCGGAAATATCTGAGAGCTCTTAGTTGTTCGGAAACCTTTACTTGTCTCCACACTTGTTCACCAGTTTTCAAGCAATCTAGCACCCCATAGAGAGTCATCGGGCATATGAGCTTCACCCCGACGCCTTTCACAATAAGAATTCGGTGTTATTGCATTGTCGGTTCACCTATCCTCGGCGCTTCAAGTAGTCACCGGCTTCCCTCGAAGTGCTCCCATTCATTTATCCTGCACGGGTAAGAAAAACATCCTCCACATATATGCATGTCTAGAATAAAGCATGTACGGAGTAGTGAATTTGGAGAATATGATTTTCACCCTCACAATCATGCATCCGAAGTTGATCTAACAGATCTCTATTTTTATAATTATGATGTGCGAATTGGTGTGAGAAGTGTGATGCAGGAGTACTGCTTTTATAGTTAAAAACGTAGCCATGTTAATTGTTGAGAATGGCATCCACAGTGTTCACCGCCCTTTAGAAACAACTTATGATAAACATCTCATTAATCGACGGTTTTCTGTCAACAGTGATCACCCCCTTTTCGACCAATAGCACTTTTCAAAATACATCTCACCTCTGCCCACCTCTTTGTGGACCAAGAGTAACGGCTTAAACTCAATCCTTCGTGTCTTTGATCGAGTAATGTATCTCTACAATACATTTTTTGGTATTTATTTTGACAAATAACCAAATAAGGATTGAAGTCGACGTTTATAGGCGGGAAGAATGTTCACAAACTTCTTTTCATAGATATACATTAATATGACATTTTAAAATGAGTATAAAACCAGTACCAGATGAACATATATGATTCACAAAATGATTATCGAAAAATTTAAAAGCTCTTTTAAATTCTCTAATGTGTTCAAATGTTTATTTGTGCATATTTAGTTTACACTATACTCATTTTAATATAACACAAAACTCATATTAGTAATAACACACAATATTTTATAATGGACAAATTGAAAAAATTATGTTAGAAAGATGATTGAAAAAAGGAGAAGAAAAACTCGACACTTATGAATATTTTATACTCCCTCCGTCCCAAAATTAACTTCTCACTTTCCTTTTCGGGCAGTCCCAAAATTAACTTCACACTTCAAAACTTTCCTTATTTGGCAAATAATCTACATCAAAAAAGTGACAAACAATGTCAAACAGTATTTAAACAGTGCAAAAAGGTGCACTCCACAATAAAGTCAAATTTATTTTTTTAATCTGTGTGAAGTCAAACTTTGAACTTAATTAATTTTCATAATCATTGAATAAAAATTAAAGCAAAAGGCTCTTGAGCTAAAAAGTAAAGAAAGAGAAAAAAGGAAAACAACAATAAAAGGCTAACCTAGAAACGTACGAACGAAAAAACAAAAGGAAAGAAAAATTAAAAAAAGCAGAGCAAATAACGGCCGAAGAAGAGAAAGCAGTGACGACGAAGAAGAATCAGAGAGCAGAGCACGGTAGCTACTTTTTGTGTGTGTCCTAACCCGTTACCGGTTTCAGCTTTTCCGCCTCTCCCCGTACGTATCGCCGGTATCGGTGCTACATAGAGAGTTGCAGCTGTACCTGGCTTGGACAGGCGCATCACCAACAGCGACTATTTCGGCAGACCTACGTTCTTCTCTGGAGCCGCGCAAGAAGTAGGGCACGACGCAGGCGGCCGTTCCGAATCCCCGGCCGCTCGTCCAGGTGGTGCCGCTTAGAATCCGGCATTCATCTTTGCAGAAGCGTAGCAAGAGTTAATCAGTTCAGTGTTTCAGTTCCGTAAGTCGGCAATATTTTTCGAAGATTTAACCCGAAAATTGCAAGGTCAGTAATCTTCAAATTTACTAATTTGAAATTTTTATTCTTTGAATTAATAGTACACTTATTACTTATCCCTTACCGAAGTTGTGATTTTGATATTGGATTTGTGATTTTGATATTGGTTTTGGGAATTTAGTTGCGTGTGTGGTTTCTGTCAGGTACCAATGATTTTGCTCATTCCCATTTGTATGATATGATATTTTATATTTTGATACGACCTGTATGGTTTTATTGAATTGCTGTCAGATGAGAAAAAATCGCAAGGTGAAAAGCAATTCCAACTCCAAGCTAATAAAATCCCGGAAGAAGAAGTTGGAGAAGCTCAAGGTTTTTTTTTTTTTTTTTGCTTTTTTTTTTTTTGCAATTGGCAGTTCTAAAGTTTCTCTCATTAGTTTTCTGAGTATTATTTGTTTCCATCAAAATCTCTGGGACGTTAGTTTATCAGTTAATTGTTTCAATCTCATTCAGGAGGACAAGGAAAAAGCTATCCTTTTATCTAAAAGCATGGAGACCTTGGAGTAAGAACTGCTTTTTTATAAGATCTACTTTTTTACTTATTTTCTTGTAATTTTATTCCTTTTAAGAGTATAACTTCAAAAAGCTAATCTCCAGGTAGGAAATTCATGTAATTAATTAATGTGACAATCTGGTGTTTTACATTGCAGGAAGTATAAGATTGGGGATGGTGCATATTCACTTTTGAGGTCTTCAAGAATCTTGGGTCTGGTTGGTAATGTTACACCGAATCACTTTCACTAAACTCATACCATAAAGTAAAATCTTTCTTATTTAGTCCATCTGCTCCTGTTTTTGCTAGGTTGAAACTAACCGGGATAAGAGAAGAAGAGAAGTTCAATATTCGAAAGCAGGACTAGAAGTGCCAAGTGGCGATCGACCCTTTAAGAAGAATAAGAACAAGATTGCTAATACCATTATAAGTGATGCTGAACAAGAATGTGATGAAACTCAATCAACTTCTCCTGTCATCAATGACTATATATTGCGCGCACCAGTAAGCAAAGGAGATACGCTGTCTGATGCATCTTCTTGTCTAGGAGCCTCTAAACCTCATGTTTCCGATGGAGGTTCTTCAACAACAGTTAGGCATGCAACAACAAATGAATATAATGAGCCCTCAAGGACTGAATCTCTGCAATACCCACCACCATCCACCCCAAGTTGCGTTGATGATGGAAGGGCAGGATTAAAGGTTACATCTTTATCTATATTATAGTACTCCCTCCAGTCTTAAATAAATGTCCATAGAGGAAAAATGTGGGTTATAAGGACTTTAAGGAGAAAATTAATTTGGTCAGAAATTGAAAAATGCACCCTTATTGATTTCTAGGTAGTGAAACCAAGTAAACGTGAAACAAACATGAAAGGGTAACTTAGTCAATTTACTATGTTTTTTATTGGATTGCTTGATGGCCAGTTGTTCGTGAAAGTGATTTTAGGTAATATACAGTTATTTGAATTATTTGAGATTAGGAGTGAAGGGGAGCCTTGGCGCACAGGTTAATTTGCTGTTGTGTGACCGAGAGGTCACGGGTTCAAGTTTTGAGAGCGGTCTTTTATCAAAATTTGACAGGGAAAGACTTGCTCCTCATACACCATTTTGGTGGGACCCTTCACGGACCTTCTCCTTGTTGGGGATGCCTTTGTGCAACGGACTGCCCTTTTTTTATTTGAGTTTGGGAGTATAGTGTAAACCTTAAGCTAAACTACCTATTACGCCTGAAAGCAAATTACTTCTAAGCAATGTTAAGAGTTCTTTTGTTCCATGCTAGTTATTTGCTATCAACTAATTTTTGCTTAAATAAATGACTTGGACAGCTTGAAATTGATAGAAAACAGAATGCTAACCTCACTGCCTGTACACCCCAAAGGTCTTTAATTGCCCCGACTGTAGTGCATGTTATTAGACCAAAAGAGGTTGAAGAGAAAAGGAAAGACCTTCCAATAGTCATGATGGAGCAGGAGATAATGGAAGCCATAAATGAGAACACTTGTGTAATTATTTGTGGTGAGACTGGCTGTGGCAAGACTACCCAGGTTCCACAGGTGATAATTGCTTTAGTTTTTACTTGTTTTTCCATGGATTATATTATGGACACTTTTGGCAAGGGTTATTTGGCTGAACTTACAGAAATTATTGAAATGAAAGTGTTTCATAACATCCATTTCAGCCAATTAAATTAGTCAAAAGCTACTTTTTCTGTTCAGTCTGCTGATATCAGGTCACCAACTGGAGCCGTTGTACTCCCTTTCTTCTTTACCTTTTGGTGTGATCTTTTTTTTTCCAGTTCCTTTATGAAGCTGGATTTGGATTGCATTCTAGAAGAGGTGGGATTATTGGTGTAACCCAGCCCCGCCGGGTTGCTGTTCTTGCAACTGCCAAACGGGTTTCCTTTGAACTCGGTTTTCATCTAGGCAAAGAGGTTGGCTTTCAAGTACGGCATGACAGGAAGGTGGGGAGTAATTGCTCAATCAAGTTCATGACGGATGGAATTTTGCTGCGAGAAGTGCAGGTCTGGTAACAGGTCTATGGTTGTGCTTGTTATTCATGAGGGAAAAAATCTCTGTGGATTTACATCTTTGTTTGGTTAAAGTGAAATTGGAGAGAAAGAAACATGAGGGAAATTGAGATTTTTATGTTGTTTGGGGGAGAAAGGGGGTGAAAATGGTGGGTCCCGCCTCTTTATTTCTTCTCTTTTTATGGAGAGAAATGAATCTCCCGAATTCTGCCCAGAAATCCTGCCAAACAACACAAAAAGACCATATTTCTCCTTTCTCCTCTTTCTCACCCATTTATTTCTTCTCTAATACTTCCTTAAACCAAGCAAAAGCTTGAGTATAAGCCAGTCCTCTTGTGTGCACATTTTTTCAACAGCTATTTATAATTTATATCACTAAATGCAGAATGATTTTCTATTAAGACGTTACTCAGTCATAATCTTGGATGAAGCTCATGAGAGAAGCTTGAACACAGATATACTTATTGGGATGCTCTCACGTGTAATAAGAGAGCGCCAGGTAACTCCATTTTATTTTCCTCACCAATTCGGTTTTGTCAAAAGTTCACCCTTTTATTCATTCCCTTATTCTCTGTTTCTTATCAGAGAGAATTTGTGGAACAGCAAAAGAAAATACTATCAGGAAATACTATAAGCGACGAAGAAAAGATATATCCGTTGAAACTTGTGCTGATGAGTGCGACGCTTCGGGTTGAGGACTTTGTGGCTGGGGGAAGAGTTTTTCCCGATCCTCCACCCGTAATAGAAGTCCCGACCCGTCAATACCCAGTCACCACACACTTCTCCAAGAGAACTGAGATTGTAGATTATGTTGGTCAAGCTTACAAAAAAGTATTGTCTATCCACAAGAGACTTCCTGCCGGGGGCATACTTGTCTTTGTAACCGGACAGCGGGAGGTGGAGTTCTTGTGCAAGAAGCTAAAGCACGCATCTAAGGACATAACTAAGAAAAAAAACTTCAAAGAAAAAGATCAGTCACTGTCTACAGTGGCACCTTCTGAGGATAAAGATATGAAGGAGATAAGCGAGGCATTTGAGGTAAATGAAAACACAAAGCTTGAAATAACTGAACGATTTAGTTCTTATGAAGAGGAACATCTGGATAACTATGAGGATGATTGTGACGTTTCCTATGATTCAGAGGATGATAGTGATCTGGAAGTCTCTTCCAATGGGGACGAACAGTCAAACCGACATTTATTGGAGTCTGGTGGAACCCTTGATTCACTAAAGGCTGCTTTTGAATCTTTGTCTGGAAAGAAACCCGCACTGTCAAAAACTGAGAGGAAATCAAATGCGCCGAGTATTCCTCCATGTGTTGGTCCCATGTGTGTCCTACCCCTTTACGCAATGCTTCCTGCAACCGCTCAGCTTTGTGTCTTTGAAGAGGTAAAGGAAGGAGAGCGTCTTGTTGTTGTTGCTACGAATGTGGCTGAAACCTCTCTGACTATTCCCGGAATAAAATATGTTGTTGACACGGGCAGAGAAAAAGTGAAGAAGTACAACTCCTCGAATGGGATGGAAACATATGAAGTGCAATGGATAAGTAAAGCTTCGGCTGCCCAGCGTGCCGGTAGGGCAGGAAGGACTGGACCTGGTCATTGCTATCGCCTTTATTCTTCTGCTGTCTTTAATGACATATTGCCTTCCTTCTCAGATGCTGAAATATTGAAAGTGCCTGTTGATGGTGTTGTGCTCCTCATGAAATCTATGCACATTAGCAAGGCAAGTTTTGGTATTTCAGGCGTTTGTGACTGTAAATCTTTTTCTATTATTATGACACGTCTGAGTAGTGTGCCTTTTTTTTTTTACTTTCCTCTAATGATAGAGAGCTGATAAACTAGTCTCACTAGAAGTTCTTTTTTGGCAATTTAGTCCCATTAACTTTGAAATTTCATGAATTAGTCCTGAAATTACTGGAAATGGCAAAGGTTACCAGAAAGTACTGTCCAACAAATTTATGAGTCAGTTAATGGAATCTCCTTGTAATTTCAGGTTGCAAATTTCCCTTTCCCTACCCCTCCAGAAACAGCTTCCTTAAGTGAAGCAGAGCGCTGCTTAAAAGTTCTAGAAGCACTTGACGTGAATGGAAGGTTGACGCCTCTTGGTAAGGTCATGTCACAGTTCCCAATGAGTCCACGTCACTCTCGTATGCTCCTCACGGTCATCCAGATGATGCGAAGAGTCAAAGAATATAAACGGGCAAACACCGTCTTGGCTTATGCAGTTGCATCAGCTGCAGCTTTGAGCTTATCAAATCCTTTTCTTATGGAGTTTGAACACCCCCAGAGTGATCAAGGTGAGAGAACTGATGAGAAGGAAGAAAAGAAGAAGAAAAAGAAGTTGAAAGAAACCGTTAGAGTCTCTAGGGCAAAGTTCTTAAACCCCACTAGTGATGTGTTGACCATAGCTAAAGCATTGCAGTGTTTTGAACTGTCTGGTAATCCAATGGCGTTCTGTAGTGAAAATGGATTACACCTAAAGACCATGGAAGAAATGTCCAAGCTCAGGAAGCAACTTCTTCACCTAGTCTTTAACTCAAAGGGTATGTCTGTATCATAAAACAATCAGCAAATGAGCAAAAAAACATGCCAAGGGTAGTTCTTTCTTGTGCTTAGTTGTACCTTGGAAAATGCCAGATGAAACTGAAATTTGATTAGGTTTTTAATCTTTAAGAGCCTACTTGGTAATGGTTATTTGGCTGGATCCGCTGATATTTCTGAAAGGAGAAGTATTTAGTAAAATCATTCCAGTCAAATAAAAAGTGAAAAGCTATTATTCTGCTTAAGAGCAGAATGAGCCGAACAAGACTACCAAATGGGCTCTAAAGTAAATTGGTTGAGTTTTACATTATATTTATTTTCCTTCACATTTTCTTTCCCACTAATTTTCTCCTATGTTTTGTTTCCTTCCTATTTTTTCACCTAGTATCCGGATTCCAAACGGACCCAAAGTGTGACAGACAGAATGGTTTCTCATGGTGCCATGGGACGATTGAGGATGTAGAAGCTTCATGGAAGGCTCTCTCAGATAAACATAATTCTCTCCACCTGAATGAAGAGGAGATAATTGGACAAGCTATCTATGCCGGTTGGGCTGATCGGGTAGCCAAACGGATCAAACGAATTTCAGGACTGTCTGAAGAAGACATGAAAGCAACCTCAGTTCGTTACCAAGCTTGCATGGTGAAAGAAACGGTATTCCTCCACCGTTGGTCAGCTGTTTCAAAGTCAGCACCTGAATTTCTAGTGTACACTGAACTTCGGAATTCTAAAAGGCCATATATTCTTGGAGCAACAAGTGTGAAAGCAAACTGGCTTGTTAAACACGGTCAGTTTGCACATATGTAAAGGAAACCCTATTCAACTTCAACTTATCTAAAATCTTATACACACCAATGAAGGTTAGGGCATTTAAGGGAGGAAAAAAATGTTGGTAGTATCCTCTAGCTGAATTGATATGTACAATACGCTTGACCACAGGTACTCTATCAAAGGACTTTAACTTCCGTTTTATTTCCGTCTGTCATTCCTCCCATCTGTTCATGTTTTAAAAAAATTATTCCGTTTTATGTTCGTCCCATCCGTTTCTCACTGTCGCCTGGAATATATCATTCGCATTCTTCACCTGAAACTAAAACCCGCTGCCTGCTCGCTGCCTACTCCCATCTATTCATCCGATCCGACATGTTTTCTTTTCATTTCCCCTTGCCTACTCAGTGAGTCGCTGGTCTTCCGATTTCTCAAGTATGTATTTTAATTTCAGTTTTAGTTTGTTATAATTTATTTGATTCAGCTTTATGCCTTTATTTCTGGAAATTTTGAGGGTTTCTATTATGAATACAGATAAATTGCCCACTAGATTTTTGGAATTTACATGCTGTGAATTTTCATGTTATTGTGAATCCTGAATTCAACTTTAGTTCGAGGAATTGTGATATGCGATTTAATGTGGATACTGTGACTTCTTGGCATTCAGCTTTAGCTCTTTAGTTTGGTACAATTCAGGTAGTTTTTGTGAATTGTGAATTATGAACTCTGGAATATCCCTAAATTGCTCCCTAGATTGTTGTTGGGGATTAGACGAGTAAAGCCTAGAGTCTGTTTACGTATGGATATGAATTAACGTTTAGACCTTTTTGAAGTTCAGTGGAGCTTGACTTAGATTTAAATCAATTTAAAGGTAGGAACTAGGTATGAATTGTTGTGAATTTAATGATCAAAGAAAGTCCACGTCTTTTATGTTTTACTAATTGGGTTTGCAAAAAAAAACAAACAGCAACCTTGCTTTGTGTTTATCATTTTTTGAAAAATATAAAAGAGCGTGAAGGCCTGAACCGTAAGAGTACTGTATTAGATTGTGGTATCTATCGTCGCTATTATATATTGAAGTATTATATTAGATTGTGGTCTATATTAGATTGTGTAGTACTATATTGAAGGCCTGAACCTTGCTTTGTGTTTATCATTTTTTATTTCTCTTGTCATTATTATATTGTCCTTTATCAGATGATGGACCTGTGATACTTTTTTGTTTAAAACCAAGAAGCCTCTCTTTTTGCTCAACAATTTTGTAGGATGTTCTAGGTAGATATTGCTTTATTCATTTTTAGCAGTTCAATGAGAGACCCTTCTTTGGATCTTTTGAAAAGAAGAAAAGATGATACTGTAATAAGTAATTGATGGGAAATTTTTTGAAGTAACCGTTAGGTCATTTCTCTTCTGCAAAATGCAGAAAGCCTTAATATTATCCTTGGAAATTTCCCTCAACTAAGCGAAGGGATACTGATCTGAGTGAACTTTGTCTTTTCCCTTCTTTTGTCATCATTTCTTCATGAAGCTCAAGTTGTTCAGGCATCCCTGTTTGCTCAATATTCAATAAGGACCTTGTAACCCTGCTCTATGCCTGGCACACGAGAAAGAAAATTGGGATCCTCTTTTAAAAATATAAGAGCATGAAGGCTTGTACTGTAAGAGTACTATATTATATTGTGAACTGTCTGAGCCAATTTCTCCGCATGCATGGAGAAGTTTTTCTCTAGAAAACCACAGTGAGGTCGATCTCCCTACGTCAGAGTCATATATTAGATTGTGCCCTATAGAGGTGGCTAGAGTCATATATCAGAAAGGTTGAAATCTCTTACCACCAATACATAGATTAGGCCGTCTGTAAATCCAAATCTTACATACATACTTATAATAGCGAATGAAGGTGCAAGTGTCTTTAGGGTATTAAAACTGTTTCCGTCTAACACTCGTTAACAAGCTGTTGTCTCATCTCCCTTCATCCTTGCGTCCTCAATGAGGTCTTCAATCTTGATAGAGATCTCCAGCAATCCAGACAATTAACAGAAAAATTAACAAGAAACAGATGAATTTTATTGATGAAGAACAATTACAGAAATAGAAGAGAGAGTATGGCCGAAGCCCTCAATGAGCCGAAGCCCCCAAAAAGAAAGAGAAAGTTCTCGATCTTCCCAAGTCCCCAGTCTGAAACGTCTAAAACAGCCTACTCTACTTGCCCAAGCTTATTCTATTTATACTCAACTTGTACACTTGTTATTATTAATACTCTATTGGGCCGGGTCCCTAACAAATCTTCACCTCTTCTGCTTTAAATAGCATTTCCACGAACAAAATATAGGCTATTTTCGGTATGCTGTGACTAGCTTATTTTCGACACTATGGGTTGTGCATTTCATAGCTCAGCAAAGGAAATGGATTTCCAAATTTCTTAATTCGCAAAAACTGTATGTAGTCGGCGACGTAACCTCATAAATAAGATGTTCAACCGCTCTAGCCAACCTCTGAAATCATTTGTTACATACAGGAAAATAAAATTTAAATTCTTTAACTCTTCTATCTTGTACATTTTGTATGTTTCAAAATGTTTCATAATGGTGTCATCTACTCCTTAAAACCTGATATACTATATTATTACTATCTATCAGGTTTTAGTTCAAGGGTATGATGTGTTTTGGCAGAACATGTTCAAAGGGGCTTCACATTCATTTGATTACATAATCTCATAATTTGTTGTCCATAGTGAATAGTATGAAAAAGTGAGAATAAAGTAGGAACTAATAAATTTAAAACTAAAATAAAATAAATTAAAAGTGAATAGTATGTTTGCTTTCTAAATTTAGTAGTGAAAAATCTATCTGTTCACAGTGAACCACATATATGTAATTAACTAATTATGTACCGTGTTGTTGTCGGCAAATTGTTTTATAAATTCCTGAGACATCCCATGTTAAATTTGTGCAATTTGCTTATTAGGATGTCATAAAACATTATTCCTAGATAAATTGCTGACATCTATCAATGGATTTTGTTATTTGGTTAATGACTTCATTTGGCTAAGTTTTCAATCTTTAGTATTTACTGGTTAGTGAAGTGCAAAATTAATATTGAATAGGACACTTGCAAATGATTATGAGGAAGCAATCAATGTTAAGAAGTGTTAAAATTTGACATTTTAAATAGAGTATTCATATAAAGATCCATACAAGCAGCTAAGTAAAATGGATATATTACAACACTATATTTTCAATCAGTATCAACTTACTAGAGTAGTATAAAAAGCGGCTTCTAAATTCCAGTTCAATTATCAAAGCTACATTAGCTATATTTAAAATGTTTGCAAAATCCCAATCTTAAAAGTGAAAACTTTTCTTTCCAACTTGTTATCTGGAACACCAAAAAGATTTGAAAGCATTTAAAAAAGCATCTGAAAGGAAATGTATAGTTTGGTGGTTTTCAATGTGTTATGAACTGCAGTTTGCTTTTGTTCATCCTATAAGGGCTTTTTTTCTATTAATCTCAGTTTCCTTTTAAAATCCCCAACAGAAAGTGAAGAGGATCAAGATCTAAAGGAGTATAGGTAGAAGGTAGAGATGGAACTCTCCAATTTGCATTGACATCATGACTGATTGATGGTCATCTTATCCTCGTTTTCTCTACTAGAGATTGCAAGGTTTGGGGAGTGGGTCTGTTACCACAATTTTCGATCTTTTAATTGCAGGAAATGGATTGGAAGAATGATAGTGTGGCTCAGATTTGTTATTTTGTGATGATTTTTATTAAGATTTTATTGAATTTGAGTTCGATTTGGTTTTATATGGTTGGAAGAAATTCTATCAAACTCAAATAATCAAAATACTATATGATTCTGTTTCGGTTCAGTTTAGTTAGATTTAGTCAAATCGAGCCAGTCTGTCCACCCATAACTTGAATATAGCTGCAAATGTTTACTTGTAGAGATTATTATAATGAACATGTTACAAAATACAAATTTTCTTAGTCGGTCTTTTATCGACAAATGTGATGGTAAATTGTAAAATATACTGGTCACATATTTTTTAACAAAAAATATACACTGGGCATTTATATAATCGCGCATCGCGTGTGTGAAAACTAATAGCGGTTTATAAATGTACAGTCACTACCATTAATTCATTACCTTTACATCGCACACATAAAATTTTTAATTGCAATAGTTTCACTTTCATGTTTATCAACGCACAACTTTGACTGTAATTATATTTAAGTATATATTAATAAATTTTATAGAAAGTTAATATTGTGGAAGTTCACATTAAAAGGAAATTTAATACTCTGTAATAATTTGATTATAATACTAGAAAATCACGATCAAAGTAAAGTGTGTGAGTAGTGTAAAATTCAAAATGTTGCAATTATATAGCCTTAGGAAGATATGCTAGCAATCATGCTAAAATTTCCAAACTAATGAGATATTTGTAAGTTGGGTTTGGTTTGTTTTGTGATCTATTCAAATATATTTATTTTCAATTACGTCTTTTTAATTTTGGTCGAGACGAGATTAAAGCAACATTAAATGAAAACGAATTAATTGACAACATATTTGTTTCTATAAATTCTTTTAAGTTATTTTTTAAAAAAAACTTTAAACAGTTACATTCATAAAAAGTACAAAAAAAAACTTATGAACCAATTATTACTTTTACACATACTTCAAAGTGTTTTTAAAATAACTTTAACATTTACACACTACGGTCTAGAAGTAGAAATGAATTTGGTGTTAAATATATTAGAAATATATTACTCCATCCGTCCCAAAAAAATCTTCACATGTTATTTCGGATCCGAGTTTAAGAAAGTGAGAATAAAGTGGAAATGAATGATTGTGATTGAATGAGAAAAAAGTAAATGAATATTATCCACACAATACTTTCCAAAAAGGGAAATGAAAAGATTTTTTTAGGACATCCCAAAAAGTAAGTGAAAAGAATTTTAAGGGAGGGAGGAAGTATATATATATATATATCAAGCACCTCTACCCCTTTTAAAATTGTCAACACATCTAATTAATTATAAATAAATAATAAAAAGAAAAGATTCAAATAAATTGTTACTATTTCATGTTCATCACTTGATTTAGCCTTTATATGTTAGAGAGTAACATATAAGTACATTTATTTTTTAAATACAATCAATTTAATCATTTTAACCTACTATGGGATGTCATTTAATAAACAACATACTTGATAAGTTTTATAAAAATTCATATAGATTTAAAATACATAGGAACATAAATAAAAGTAAATTGTAAAAAAAAAGTAAAAATACAAAAAATAAAAATAAAATAAAAGTATGTAAAAATAAAATTAAATTAAAAAAATAAAAGTAAATTGTAAAGCTTTTAAAAGATGTCGAGTATACAAATAGTTCCAAAACACATAAATATAATTCTTGACACCCTTACCATCTTTTACATTCGTTTCTAGCTATTTTGTAACAAAATTCCTAGTTAAAAAAAACCCTACATAACAAGTAAAAAACTGGTTAAAGTATATTTTTAAAATAAACATACTTATTTGGCATAATTTTTTAGTATATAAGCTTAAGTAATGAATCTGAAGTAATAGAAGAAACATTTTGAACAATTTCCTAAATTTTTCTAATAAATAATGATAAATTAACTATAAAA